CGGGCTTTCATCCCAGGTGAGGAATTGAGCAGATAAACCTATATTGTCTTAAAAACCTATATTGTCTCCTATTGTCCTAAAATAAAATTTATTTTCTCGTGAAAATCTACTTTCGTAATGTTTCTCACATCTAATTCAAAAATGCGTGTTGATTAATGAAAATTTTGAATCATTTAGTGGTGTAATGAGGTTTTTAAAGTAGGCGATAGCGATAGCGATAGCGGTAGCGATAGCGCTCCGCTATCGATTCAGTGGGTAATAGCGATAGCGGTAGCGGACTAGCGGAAGTCTTTTCGCTAGCGGAATAGCGATAGCGCGCTATCGTTCTTCGATAGCGCGCCCAACACTGAAAATAGCATAGTGAATACGGGCGAAAACAAACACAAAACATAAAGAAACAGAAAAACAGAATGAATGCGATTCATTTACATTCCTCAGACTGCTCTTGCTAATTGTTTATCACGATTTTGTTAAGTATATAAATCCGATTTCATCGGGTGCAATAGATTGGAGTCTGCATTCAAATATTTGACGCGATTTAGAGGAAGCAGTGTTTTGGGAAGTATATTCCAGACTCTAACGACTCTGTTTGTGAAGAACTTTGCTGTGTTTAATATGCAACGCTTAAAAGTGAGTTTAAAGGAATCATTATGACGGTTTCGTTTAGTGCTTGAAGAATATTCGAAGAATTCTCTCACTGGGAAGTCTACCTGACAACGAATGATGTTGTATTTTAAACAAAGATCTGCATAAAATCTTCGTACTTCTAAACTTTCTAACCCTAATATTTTAGTCTTTCCTGTTATTTAGGTAAATTACAGAAATTTCCACGATGTCTTTTGAAGGTGAAACGTGTGTATTTGAACATTTCCAGTGATATTAACATCCTGTTTGCCACCGTATGGAACAGAGCGGAGCTAGAGGGAAGAGGCATGTTCGAGAGTGAGCAAACAAAGGTTACAAATAATCCGTTTAGTAGGGATAAATCTTTACAGCTGAACATTCTCAATATGAGTGATGCTCTGGTGTTTCCCTTTTGACTATGGTGAAAAAGCAAAACGTATCTGGAGGATGGGGGATTCGAACCCCCGACTTCTCGCATGCAAAGCGAGCGCTCTACCCNCTGACCTGACCTCGCAAGTGTGTCATACCTTTAGAAAATTAAGTATGTCTGAGTAATAGTGTATATTCCCCCAGACACAATTTTTGTCATTGAAAGTATGTCATAGAAAATAACCAAAGCACAATTCCATCACAATATTCGACGGATCCTGCTTATCAGACCATATTTTGGTACCGTTAAATGGAGAAGAAATGTCACGATTGTGGTGTCGTGAAGCAGTTTTGAGCATTTAAAAGTTAATATTTAGAACATTAGAATGAATTATTAATAATGTAGATAATTTGATTGACAGCAGATTGTTTACGCAATGAGCCATTAGAACTCATATGATGACCTATCCCACAGAGAATCAGCGAGAAATTGGTTCGAGGGATAGTTAGATAAGATCAGAATGATTTCTAAGGCTTAGTTGAAAGTGAATGCGACAAAGTGAGATTATTGGGCGGTGCAAATGACGATTAGAAATGGATCAGTATAAAAGAAAAGTTCTACGATTATTATGTTTATTTGTATGATGTATTTAAGATAATTTCTTATGTTTCATTGATTACTGTTAGAATTTATAATACCGTTCGTGATTCGTGTTAATGTATAAGGTGTAATTACCCAAATTTGGGGTAATCACGAAAATAAACGATTTGTGGAAACTTCGCAATCGTTACAAGAAACTCGACTTTCTAAATATATATTGAAATGTAGAGTAGCAAATCTTAGGAGCAGGGTAACTCGAATATTTAGATGGACCAGTGCTTTGGGTATTTTGAGTGACATAACTTCAGAAAATTACAAATCTCTCAGTAACTGGAGGAGATTGACCGGCCAAATATGCGCTTTTAGAAAACTGAGATTCTCCTCGATCTATCAGTATCGAAACACCCATATGTAGATGGGCAAACCTGAGGAGAAAGGTCCAGCCCATGTTGTGATGAACTGATGCTTTCTTTATTTTGATTGACATACCTTTAGAAAGTTAAGGATCTGTGGGTATTGGAGAGAAATTGACTGGTTATGGCATAGTTCATGGAAAGCCAAAATTTTTCTCGATTCAACGGTGCCAAAATATCCACAAGTAGATTGCTGAATCCAGGAAGCAGGGTTATCGAACCGATTGGTTTGTTAGAAAACGATTTTCGATTTGAAACAAAAAACTGAAACAAATTCATGAAATGCAATTTTCAGTCAAATTTCAACGAACAAATAGTGTGGAAGTCAAGTACTGCGGGTGTTATCCACTGATATTACGAATGGATAAAATTTTATTGGAAATTTCATCTCTTCGCGACATGAATTCACATTTCATCATTGTGCAAACTTTGTCGCGAGCCCTGCGAATAAGAACGCGGAAACGCGTTTTGCACGCCCAACCTTGAACTTCAATTGAGTATCTGTCTGTGATTAACAATCTTCGAAAGTCTTCAGATGTCAAAACAACCGAAACGACCAAATTTGTCCGTGATTAATGACCTTCGAAAGTCATCAAAACAACAGATTCATCAAAGATAATCAGAACAACTCCGCCTCTAGAAGAGAGTATAAATATGGCCACTTCAACGCTACTAAANACATTTCAATTTCTCGGTCCCAACCACGACCGGTGGGCAGACCAGCGGGCCGCTGGCTCAGCTGGGCCGTCTGCATGACTTCGATCCCTACCATTTCAATGGTCAGTCTAAAGCTCGACCTCAACTATGCCTGCTATATCGACGCACCAAAGACTTGGTCGTTGTGATATTCAACTCGTCAATAATCTTAACTCACATTTCATCAGAAATAATCGGATGTTTATGTCCCATCGTTATCTCGCCACACAACTCGACTCTCTATTCTCTCAGAGTTATTCACCCTATCTGTTATTCAGCAAGTGCTGTAAATCCAATTGCCGCTTTGTTTATGAGTGTAATTAATTTTCTGACGTCGAATCAAGTACTATGCCAATCGTCATCTGTTCTATTGCATCGTCAAGCTGTATTCAAGGAATTCCTCGATAGAAATTCTGAATTTTATCGGAGTCAGTCCCAGCGATAATCAGATAGTTTACATCCCTTCATTCCTTTGTATCCCTTTATCCTTTTATATCCCTTTGTTTCCCTCTCTAATACAATGCGAGCGTCGTCATTCTGATCTGCCCGCCAACTGCCTTCCGCTACAAACCGTATTATCGTCTTGTATTTATTAGGTCATGTAATAATCAATCTGCTATTGTCGAATATTTATCTGGTCATTCGCCTTCGACAATCCGACGACGCGCTGCTGGTATCGACATGTGACAGTAACATCACGACCGATTCCAATTCGCCATCATCCGATCAGACGATAGACGAGTTGACTTTCAAGACTAGTCCGTTGCCTAACTTGGAAAGGCAACGTACTAATCAAGCTCTCTCACTCTTACATTCAGAGAAGCAGCAAGTTAGCGCCGACGTCGGTTCAGATACACCGACGGACGGTACGTTCGAGAGTTTGAGTAATGAGGGCGAAAAAATCTTATGGATGGCTGAAGAGCGAGTCACCAAAACAGCTGAGGAAATACAAGCTGTTCTCAGTACACTCAGCGACCGATACGTGATCATCGCGATCATCATCGGAGTGACCCTGTTGGGAATCGCAGCACTTTTGCTGTACTTAAAATTCACTGGATGCCTCGGTTCAAGTAGCAACGTCCGAATCCAATTCCCATCCACCTTCGACAACGAACGCGTGACTGCCAGGGGCATCGAACTCAAGGAAATGGTACGACGCCCGGAACCAACAAATGCAACTCCGACGGTACAACGCCCGAGACTAAGAAATGCGACACCTGGGATCCTACTCCAAAGGCCAGCATCAATATTTTCACCTTTGATAAGTCCACTATAACAAACGTGAGACTTTTTCCGCTCGGGAGTGTCGCGAAGTCCGCGAGTAAAATCCTCCATAATTTATAAATAATATATTTAAATTAGTGAAATGATTAATGACATTTGAATGTCATTTCAAGCAAGACTCCAAACTAGTAATAGATACGTCATCA